AATCATAAAACATAAGTCAATAAATTTCACAGAATCAGTATTACATAGCCCATGTTGTTGAATTATATTGTACTTTAAATACCAAAATAAAATGATAAAAATTTATGAGACTTATGAAAATTAACTTTGGAAGTTAAAATACACACTTTTCAGTAAATCATGATTCACAGTAGAAATTTCAAATCATGAAATATGAGAACGTTTAGGACTAAACATAGTAATATTTTAAATATTAAATATTAAAATTTATTAGATGAAATGAAAGTAATATTTGAGGGTAATACATAATATTAAATACACATTATAAAAGAGAAATTGTGGAAAATTAGTGAGCTAAGTATCCAACTTAAAAAGTTTAAAAAAAGAACAAATCAATTCAAGGAAACTATTAAATAGAAGAAAGTAATAATGAGCAGAAATAGATGATATGGTAAAATGCAATAGAGATCATCAACAAACAAAAGTTGGCTTTTAAAAAAGATTAATAATGAAGTAGTCATCTGGGAGAAGTTATGGGGGTAAGAGATCATACAAAAATAGAAATAGCAATGATATAAAATAGGAACATAGTCATATATACATCACACATTTAAAAGGCAATAAAAGAATGCTGTGAAAAACTTTATGCCAATAAATATGAAATCTTAGAGAAAAAATATGAATAAAGTAGAAAGCCACCATTATGAAAGAAACTGCAACATTTTCTTTATTAAAGTTAAAATGTTATAATTAAACAACTCTCCATGAAGAAATGCCTAGACTTAGATGTTCTTATGTTGAGTCTTTCCACACTTTTAAGGAGCATTTCATTCTATTCTTACATCAACTATTCTTGATAAGATAAAAGAAGAAATTCTGAACAACATAAGGGAAAATGGAACAAAAGAACCCCCAAAAGTCTACCCCTCTATAAAATAAAAAAAAGTCTCGCTACTGTCAAAATTAACTTTTTCAGAACTCAGATATTTAACCAGATGTATGAAGCAATGCAGGAAACATTTATTCATGAAGAATGGGTGATTCTCATTTATAATAGTAGGTTTTGTGGTATTTTAGCTAATTCTCATCCCATCCCCACCCCTCACTCAGTTGTGGTCTTGAAAAAAGTATAATCTTCATTCCCAGTTGTGGAGGAGAGAATAGGGTAAGTAGCTCTTTCAAAGCTTCATTCCTAATGAATTGTCATTATTTGACCTGTCTGTTGGTTTCTTTGAAGTCCTCACTTAAAAATTGTGTCTTTATTTGAGCTAAGAGATTACCCACTGCTAAAAAACATACAACAAAGAATAGAAACTCTACAGAATTGCTTCAGGAATGTCACTAAACAAACAATAACAAAATAGCATATATTTACTACAAATAATGGCAATTGCCCAAGCAACAGCAGCAATAAACTCTGGAGTGGAAGGAGGGTAATCTCATCTCCAGAGCAGACACGTTTCTGGCAGGATACTCTTCAAGTCTGGAATTTCTACTTGTTTCATTTTAATAACATCTGTCTTTTCATTAATATTCTTCAGTAAGACTTCACTCGTATTTTCTTTAGTTCTTTTTTTTTTTTAAGACAGGGAAGCATCGGACTTTATTTTTATTTTTTTTCAAGATTTATTTATTTATGCATTGAAGAACTGGGGTGTAGGCCAGAGGTGTGCAGGGGGTGAGAGGATTCACCAGAGACAGAGTGGGGAGCAGAATAGGCAGATCTGCTGAAATACACTGCTAAGGGGAGCAGCAGGAGAGGGCTGTGGGTTAGCTGAGTGCAGAGATCAAACACAGGCTGCAGCAGCTATAACATGATAACGCTGAGACTAAACCCCTGCACTTCCAGGGGCAGATTATTTTCTATAGTTCTATCGTTCTTTAAAAGTGTTTTCCTGGGCCTCCCCGGTGGCGCAGCGGTTGAGCGCTGGGTTGCGAAGCTGCCCGCGGCCTCGGAGGCGCCGCTTCGATCCCCAGCTGCTCCCCGGCCACCGGAGGAGGGTCCCACATGGCGCGCAGACCTCTCCTGCCGCCCGCTGCTCCTCTCAGCAGTGTACTTCGGTCCTTCTGCCTGCTCTGCTCCCCGCTCTGGCTCTGGCTCTGGTGAATTCTCTCACCCTCCCGCACTTCTGACTGTACCCAGTGCATGTATAAACAAAAACAAACAAATAAATAAATAAAACATGCCTCTATTTAAAAAAATAAATAAATAAATAAAAAATAAAAGTGTTTTCCTTTAACCCTTTTTCCATAGTTTAGATGGCTGTTTTAAAATCTTTGTCCAGTAAGGCTAACACCTATAATTAATCATTTAAAGATGATTTTCATTGATTGTTCCCCTCTCCTCCCTAACCCCTGCTATGTATGGACTATTATTTCTTGTTTTTTCCAGGTCTCAAAATGTTCTGTTAAAAATGGACATTTGCCTATTTTCCCAGTTTGGGACTATTATGAGAAAGTTGCTGTGAACATTCCTAGCAGAATTCTGAAAAAGTTTATTCTGAAAGTTTTGCCAGTTTTTGTTTTTACTTCTTTTGGATATATTCCTAGGTGTTGAATTGCTGGATCATAGTGTAACTTTAATAAAAAAAAAAACTTATTCAGGAACTGCTAAACAGTTTTCCAAAATGCTGCCTCATTTTGCATTACAGTTTATGAGGGTTCCAGTTTCTCCATACTTTCACCAACATTTGCTATTTTCCTTTTGATTCTATCTTTGTAAGTGTGAGCTCTTTTCTCCTTTTTATTTTGATTTGTCTTTCCGTCATGGCTAATAATGTTGAACGTCTTTTAAAGTGCTTATTGACCATTTGTATATCATCTTTGGAGAAATTTCTATTTACTATATAGCCTCCTTATTTCACTCCAATGATAGTTTTGCTCAAAGCATTTCACCAAAATTGCCCTTAATCTTGCTATTCCTTACTGCAAGATTTCTTTTCTACCCTCTTTCTTGAACATCTAGCACCATTCTCTCCTATAAACACTTTCTTCACTTGAATTCCACAATAGCCCACCTTTCTGAAAGTTCTTCCCTCCTTACTGACACTGCTTTTCTATAACCTTTGCTGATTCCTCCTCATTCCAGGAGCCCCATGACTCAGTGATTGAACTTCTTCTGTTCTCTCTTTACATCCATGCCCTTGAAGACCTCATCCAGCTCATGGCTTTTAATACTGTCTTTATTTTTTTTAAAGATTTGTTTATTTATGCATACAAGAACTGGGGTACAGGCCAGAGGTATGGGGGGCGGGGTGAGAGGATTCACCAGAGACAGAGTTGGGAACAGAACAGGCAGATTGACTAAAATACACTGCTGAGGGGAGTAGCAGGCGAGTCAGGAGAGGTCTGCTGTGCCATGTGGCTGTAGCTAGCTCCCTGGCCAGGGATTGAACTTGTGCTACAGCTGCTGCGAATAGCTTCATAGATTGTGTCTTAACCCCTTGCACCACCAGGGAGGCCCTAATTCTGTCTTTATGCTGGAAACTCTGCAGCCAGACATCCCTGCTGATCTCATGGACTAACTTCCTACTCCCCACCTCCATTTTGATGTTAATACCAACTTGTCCCAACCTGAATCTTCATATTCCTCCCCAAAGCTGCCCTTCCTATTATCCACTGCATGGAACTTCTAATTGTTTAGGCCCAAACTACAGCTTCTTCCCTGAATCTTCTTTCTCTTTTGCCTCAAATTGAACCTGTCACCAAATCCTGGCAACTTTACCTTTAAAATATATGCTAAATTCTTACCCCTGGGAAAATCATAGAGCATTCATTATAAATAGCATGTAGCTATTTTTATGATAAAGCACACTGGAAAAATGGCATGTACAATGTGATTTCAATGATGTAAAATATGCTTCTAATAAATATTTGAAAGGAATCCACAGAAATCATATTCTAATTAAACCTTAGAGATATTTTCATATTGTCCCATATTTTTCTATGAAAATATTTATCAGGCTATAAAACTTCCAGGAAGCTTTCAGTGTTTATAATATTGATGGATGTTAGGGAGTACATACCACTTTAAACAGCCTATGATATAAATGGGGAGGAAAATTCACAATTCTGAAGACCTACTTATACCATATACTAGGCTAGTTGTTTTGTACATAGTGCCTCATTTAATCTTTGACTCTTAAAAAAAAAAATAAAGATTTTTTGGGGGTATAATTGACATACAAAAAATATTTACAAGATTAAAATGTCATTTGGTAAGTTTTCACATATGTATATCACCAAGTCAAGATCATAGACATCTCTACCACCTCAAAAGTTTCCTTGTGCCCCTTTGTAATTCTTCTCATTTTCTGCCTATTTCCCAGTTTCCCAAGCAACCATTGATCTACTTTCTGTCACTGTAGTTCAGTTTGCATTTTCTAGCAATTATATAAATTGAATCATACCTTAGGTACTCTTTTTTGTCTGGCTTCATCTGGACAACCTTTTTATGTCTTATTCACATTTAACAGTTGAAGAAATATTTTCGTGAAAGTTATATAACTTTCCTAAAATTGTGCAGTAGCAAGAGATGGACCTAGAATTCTAACTTTTTTTTTTAAAGATTTATTTATTTATGTATACAAGAACTGGGTACAGGCCAGAGGTGTGGGGGTTAGAGGATTCACCAGAGACAGAGTAGGGAGCAGAATAGGTGGATCCACTGAAATACACTGCTGAGGGGAGCAGTGGGCGAGGCAAGAGAGATCTGCTGCTCCATGTGGGTTGCTCCCTGGCTGGGGATTGAACTCATGCTGCAGTGGCTGCGGATAGCTTGATAGCACTGTCTTTAACCCCTGCACCACTATGGAGGCCCTCTAACTTTATTTCTGCCTGTGACTCAGTGTGTCCGAAGCGAAGCTCCAAATGTTTAAATAAATTGTCAAAAGTTTTTAATACCCTTAAGTATTCAAAGTTGGACAGAAACCACTTATGCCACATGCCTCTTGGTTATCTATATAGCTATTAGAAAAAGCATTGTGACTTCTTTTAGAATTCACTAAGATTGCATTTTTCAGGAGTCTGAGCCATTAACTCAACCTTGATTGACAGAACTCAACCTACATTAACTCAACCTTGCCTTGGACAGAAGATACAATGTGGTATGTTTGGGCAAAAACCCCCTTCCATACGTTTTCTATCAACTTCTCAGAACAGTGAGGTCTACTTCTCTAGAGACTGCTTTTGATTTCCCTTAGATTATTGCCCTCTTTAGAAAGACAGGTGAACTGAAACCACTCAGCATTTTGGCCCCCCAACCCCACCCTCTCTACCTTCTACTCTTTTTTCTAGTTTTTTCCTTTATTAATTTGCAGTAAATCTTCATCATCACGTTTGTTATTACTACTTTATATTCTAGGTGACCTGATTGTCAAGGTAAATGCATGGGATTGGAGCAAAAAAAATTGGCTTGTGATTCTCTAAAACTCCCACATCATTACAGCTTGATTTCCAATCAATTCCAATTTATTAGGCATATATGATACCTTTACATCTAAGAGATCATGTTATGTTTAACCTTGAACACATTTTCAGTATCTACAGTTTAATTAGTGGGTTAGAAGTTGTTTGCATATTGAAAAACAAGCTTAAAAGTGAGAGAAAACAGTATAGTAAGTAGTAAGACGATACCCTGAAACAGGTATTGAAATTAATGAATTCTTGTCAGAAAGGCAGTGAAAAGACCTTCATAGTGTTTTTTTGTTTGTTTGTTTGTTTGTTTGTTTTTTGTGGGACCCTCACCAGTGGCCAGGGATCGAACTGGCTCTGCAGAGGCTGCGGGCAGCCTCACAACCCAGCACTCAACTGCTGCGCCACCAGGGGAGGCCCTTTCATAGTGTTTTAAATCATCAATTTAAACAATGATTTTCATTGTGTGTAGCTATTGTACTCTATGCATATAAAAGTAAATGTCAGACACCATATATTTTGACAAAATTTCTGAAAATCTTAGCTAATTAACCCATGAAAAATAATGCTCTACATCCATCAGGGCAAAGTATTTAAGGAGACAGAAGAAACTGTGGCAGCAGCTCCCAGATTACAAATGCAAGCTGAATACTCTGGGGAAACATGTCAATAGGAACATTGATTGATACATGAGCCTGGCTTAAAAAACTACAAATCAGAAAGGAATGTAAATCATCTTTAGAATCTGATTATTAGGCATCTTATTTCTGGAGGTATGCCCAGCAATTCAGCAGAGTAGCAAGAAAGTACAAGACAATTTCTAAATGATGCTATTGATGAGGGAGAGATAAGTCAACCTCCATCCATTGTCCTGAAAGTCCAGATTATAAATTTGAGCTTTATTTATGAGACTCTGAAGTAGCATCTAAGTCTTTTTTTAGAGACAGATGAACTGAATACATGGAACCTGCCAAATTTTTACTAAAGAAATAAACAAATGTTACCTTTACAAAGAGATTCTTCATGTCTTTATACTTGTGAAACTTATTGTTCTGATATTTCCAAACTTAACTCTTATTTATTTATAGGTAGTGTATGAGGCCTAAGATGTTGTACACAGAGCAAGATTTATATGGGTGATAATAGAGAAATAAATATAGCATAGAAAAAGAAAGAAGACAAAGTTTTCAATTCAAGATATCTGGTTGAAAGGCACGAAATCAACAGAACAAAAGTATAAAATGGACATTAGGGTAAAAGGTGGGAAATGAAACATTTTCATTTAGACAGGATTTCAGCTCTTTTGACTTCAGTGACATTTTATTTTAGAGATACCAAGTTCCTGCGTCTATTTTTGTATGTCCTACATTTTATCAAAGCGCTGAGAAGGCCCAGAATGTGGAGAGATGAGGATGCCATGTATTTTCTGATTACCTTGACCAAGGTAATTGAACCTTTTCCCATCTCTAAAATGAGACTTCTCACAGCACCCACGTACCAGAGTGCTGCTGGGATTCAGCTGGTCAAGCCTGTCAAATGCTTCCTAGTGGGAAACCTCAATCATGTTAGTTATGACAAGGGGAAGTATGTAGAACCTATTGCAGGTTGTTTTGGTGGAACTCCAGGTTTTCTCCTTTGCTTGCCTTGATTTGTGGAATGGGGTCTGTTTCTTTTTCTTGTTCAAAGCAGCCATCACCAATTCTGTTTGCTGATGCCCATAAACTTTCCCACTCCAGTTGTCCTTACAGCAGAACCTTGGAAATCCAGGCACTCTCAGTTGCCTAAGAAGAAACATTCCTTTTGAGATCATGTGTTTCATCTCAAAACTATTTGGCCCATTTTGTACTCTGCTTCATAATAAATGTGCATTTGTTATAATGTGAAATATTTCCCCCACATTTTCTAGCACATTTGTCATACCAGGAGGCTATTATTTCCAATAACTCCTGGAATGTGATTGCATGTTCCCAGGGTATAAAAAAAACCCAGCTTGACTTTGGAAACAACCCAAATGCCCAAAAATAGATGACTGGATCAAGAAGATGTGGTACATATACACGATGGAATATTACTCAGCATTCAAAAAAGATAAACACATGCAATTTGCAGCAACATGGATGGCACTGGAAGGGATCATGCTCAGCAAAATAAGCCAGAAAGAAAAAGAAAAATACCGGATGGTCTCACTCATAGCAGGAATCTGGAAAACTTAAATTAGGGACCTGGAAAAAGAATAACTATAAGAAAGAAAATATCAAAATCAAGAAACAACTATGAACCAGAGACACTCTATGGGGGGTGAGGGGCGGGGAAAGGAGGGCTTGGGGTCAAAATAAGGGGGTTGCAATTGTATGGGGAATATAAAAAGAAAAAAAAAGAAAAAAGAAAAAAAACCCCAGCTTGAGGAAACAGACTGACTCCCAACTCCTAAGTCTGTTCCATCAAGAAGAATCAATGAAGGCAGATTCTTTGTTCTGAGAGTCAGGAGCAGGCATTTCTCTGGATGTTTTATCCAGTACTGGATGAGTATCATGAGTTTTCATTTCCCTGAATGATCCCTCTCTCAGGGGCATGTCCTTATGTTGGTTTTCTTAGGCCAGGTTTTAAAGAAGCAGAGTCAGAGAGAGGAATTCTATGCATCATCATTTATTTATTTATTTTTTGTGGGACCCTCGCCCCGGCGCTGCAGAGGCTGCGGGCAGCCTCGCAGCCCAGCGCTCAACAGCTGCACCACCAGGGGAGGCCCTGCATCATCATTTATTGATGGAAAAGTATTACCATAGAATAAGCCTTTAAGGGTAGGGGGGAAGCAAAATAAGGAGAGGGAGTGAGGCAATAGGAAAAGTCTGGCCTCAACTTGATCCAAAGGGAAAAAGCTCTGGAGTTTGAGCCTCTGCAGAAATGTCCTTCTTGTGAGACAAGGCAGCAGCTTCTGTACCCCAGAGTTAGTCAGTTACTGGCTGTTTGAATCCTTTACCAGGTTGGCAGCTTCTGAGTAGCATGGTTTGGAATACAATCAGTGAATCCCTTAGACTTGAGTTCGCTGCCATATCTCCTTTGCTGTAAAGTGGGCCACACAGCCTGCTGTGACATTATGGGGGCCGCCATGCCAGGAGGAAGCAAAGAATCTATAAGCCCTCAGATAGTTGTGTTGATGGCGCCCTGTAGGCAGGAAAGGCAGACCTATCCCAGAAATATTTGTCCGTGTCCATGAGGATGAGCTACCACATGAGTGGATGACCTTGCATATGGCATCATATCAGGAGCTCACCAAAGCCTTCTCTGTGTTAGGCATTTCATGGTCATCCACCTTGGTGAACATAATATTGTCACTGTAATGGATCAGTATGATGTTCTGTGGGATGTCCAGAAATTCCAGATCTCTTCACACTATGTTATGATGAAAGCATAACCTTAGGAAAAAATCAAAAATGTATATTCTTGCCAGTTCTATGATGGCTAATAATGTCAATAATCTTTGCCTGTGTGATTTGGCCATTTGTAAATCTTCTAAGATATTTCTATTTGGATTGTTTGTTGATTTTAAAAATTTAGTATTTCTCTTTTTGTTATTGAGTTGAAGGAGTTCTTTATATGTTTTAGACATAAGTCCCTTCTCAGATATATGATTTACAAATATTTTTCTACTACTCTGGGGGCCACCTTTCCACTAGGTCATCTAGTAGGGCCCTCACTACAACATGTGTTTACTGACCACCTGTAAAATACTGAAGCCACTGTAGATGTCAGGAATTTGCAGGTCAATAAGATATGGTCCCTCTCTGCAAAGGAAGTTTGTCTCAGAATTGGGACTTGGGTCTGCTCTTGATTTTCCTCACTCCTTTCATCCCATTTTATCTCTCCAACATTTCCAACTGCCCCAGAGCTCAGTCCTAAACACTGCTCTTTTCTAACCATTCTCATCTATAAAGGAATGATTCCAAAATTTGTATCCCCATCTCAGATCTCTCCTCTGAATGCCACTTCCTCTATATAGCTAGTAGACATTGTAAAGTTGGGGCTAAATTTGAACTTCTGATATTACTCTCAAGATTGGCTCTATCTCTACCTTTCTGTTTCATTAAATGGTAATAGCATTCTTCATTGCTCAAGCCAAAAGAATTGAGTCATCTTTGATTCCTTTTTCTCTCTTCCATCCACAGTTCCATTTGACAGAAAATCCCAGTATCTCTATATTTGAAATATATCCAGATTCTAACAAGTTGTCACCACTTTACTGTAACATCTGTGTTTGCTGTCAATAACATCTCTCATCTGTGTTATTTCATCTTCCAGTTTATGCTCTTGTCTGCCCCCTGAAGTCTATTCTCAATGTGGCAACAAGTTTGAGCTCATTAAAATATACTTGATGATTTCACTCATGGTGGGGTGTGGTGACATGCATCTGGGGAGGTGTGAATCTATTTCCCTAAATCATAAACAGTATTGTAAACCCCAGTTACCTAATTTAAAAAAAAAAAAGAAAAAAAAAAGTTGATGCTCCTGCCATTATATACAGTTTCCTTCATGACCTAACCTTTCTTCCCCCCTTTAACTCTCAGACCTCTTCTACTCCTGCACTGCTCCTCACTAACTACACTCAGCCACACTGACTTCCTCTGTCATGTTCATTCCTCAGGGCCTTTGCACTTGCTGTTCCCTCAGCATAGAATGCTCTTCCTGAAGTATCCTCGTGAACCCTCCCTTGCCTTCTTCACACCTTCACTCAAAAATTCTCACTGACATAGGTGCTTTGGTGGTGGGAGAGATATGGTGACCACAGCGGAGGAGAGAAATCCTATACTGTCAATAAAGTTAACAAGGATGTAAAGCATGGCACTTCACTAAAATAATAATAATAATAATAATAATAATAATAATAAAATTCCCCTCACTCAAGGTTCAGTTAGGAAGATGAGCTATTGTGAGTGTTGTGAGACAAGGGATTTATTATGGGAATTAGATCTTACACACTTGTGGGAGCAGCTGGGGAAGTGAAAGTCAGGAGAGGTGCATTTGGAGGATCAGATAGTCACAGCCACTTCCCCTGAAGCACTGGTGCAAGGCAGAGCTTGCAGGAAATCTGAGAAGCCAAGAATATTCAGCCACTAAAGTGGACTGTGAAAGGGGAGCTTGTGGAATGTATTATGAGAATCTGTTACTTCTGTGAAGTTACAACCTCTGACTTTGTAGCCAAGCATCTGGTGGTGAGCCTAGGACCATGCTTGGCTGCTCTTCTAAGCTTTTAACTTTCAAATGAACACAGAACTATAACATGCTTCCCCTTAATATGATGCCATTATTTCTCAAACAGCTGAAAACACAGAATTTCACTTTCTCCATATTAGAGTTATTTACGTTCATTCTTTTTGCTGAGTTAAACCTCTCTTTGATATTCTATAATATAAATCCTGAGAGTTAAAGTTAACCACTTTGAATACATTATGTTAGATAGTAGGAGAATGGGAAAATAAAAAAGAAAATGTATGGACAAATATATTCTTACCCAAATAAGAAGAAATACTCATAACTTTAGTCCTTGTTTCTGCAACTGATGATGTGATCATCATTTGTATTTATGATTTCCTTCTTTTATTCCCATAGGCCCTAAGCATGGTTTGGGAGAGAAGAGACTTTATAGCAAGAATGCAAGCCAGGGGAATCGGAGTCACTTGCTTGCACTGCTTCCTCGTTCATCCTCAGGACCCATTAAAGGTCAGTCTTGATGGGCCACTTCTGCTTGGGGCAGGTGCTGCTCTGGAAATAAGCTCTATGGCTTTGTTATCTACTGGGGCCCAGCATGTGATGAGCACTTCAGTTTTGCTTGGTCCAACAGCAAGTCAGGAGTTGTTTCTCAAAAAGGAGAATGGTTATCAGGAGAAAATGCCATAATTGAGCCCCAAATCCTAAAGGTCTGCTCTAAGAAGCCAGCAAAAGGTGGCTTCTGCATCCTCATCTGTCACAGGCTTGTTGATCACCTTGGGACCCATTGAATCCAGCAGTCCAAGGGGTAGCACAGGTTTCAGGGCCCCTGGGCCAGATGCAGAGTCATCTCCTTCTCTGTAGTCCCCTCGAAGTGGAGAAGCCCTTTGAGCTGCTCGATGCATGGGTCAAAGTAGCCATCTTAAATAGGTGTGTTGTCTCACAAGTACTCTGCCCACATTAGGCATTCTGCTTTCTCTCACTGATAAGGGCATCGCATGCAGCAACTTCCCCTTCCCCTAGGAAGGGATATCTTGACCTGGCTTAGGTCTCTGGATTCCTAGAAGTTTCATGGAGGTTTGAGGTTTCCAAATATACGTGTTTTTTTTTTTTTTCTGAAAGATTTATTTACTTATACATACAAGAGCTGGGGTACAGGCCAGAGATGAGGGGGGTGAGAGGATTCACCAGAGACAGAGTGGGGAACAGAACAGGCAGACCGACTGAAACATACTGCTGAGAGGAGCAGCGGGTGAGTCAGGAGAGGTCTGCTGCGCCATGTGGGTTTCTCTCTGCCTGGCTGGGGATTGAACTCATGCTGCAGAGGCTGCGGATTGCCTCATAGTGCAGTGCTTAACCTCTTGCGCCACCAGGGAGGCCTCTAAATTTTTGTGTTTTTATACATGCCCCAAGGTGTCTGGAGAGTTGTGCCTTCCCTGCTCTGCCGCAGGTCTAGTCCATATGAAGTCACGCCCCACTCTCCATGCAGATTGGTAAAATCCAAACTTCTTCACTTTCTCCACTGTCCCCAGCACATCCCATGGTCCAGGAACACTGGACTTTTACCGCTCTCTGAAGATGCGGTGCCCTTGGAGGGGTCCAGAGCCTCAATTGTATTCTGTCAGTATTGAATAATACTGTTGAATAATAACTATTCTGCCTCGGGATACATTTCTACTTTTCCTTCTAAATAGAGATGAAATGTCTCCTCTGAAACCTGCCCCTCATTTTCCTCCACTGTGCCCCTCAAAACCTTTTTTATTCCTTGATTGTGCATTTATCACACGGTGTGAGAATTACCTGCTTACATGTGAGCTCTCAATAGCAGAGTCTGCCTTACTTCTCTCCCTATCCCCTGGTGGTTCTATGCTTCGGTTGTTGCTCAGTAAATGTGGGCTAAATTAATTAAACTTCCTTTCTAGCCAATTGTCTTCAGTGTGGCTGTGATCAGTGCAGGGTGGTATGAATGAACTTAATTAGCCCTTAATTTGAGTAAGTAATATGCTCAATTTTGTTCTTCTCATATGTTAATTTTATAATTGCATTTATAACCAGTTTTACGGATGGGAATGAAATCCCCACCATCCCTATTACCACAAAGATTTGGAATACAATTTTACCTGTTAATGGAACAAGAAAAATCCTCACATCATGGATGTAATTCATCTTATGTTGAAAAAAGCCCTAGATATTGTCCATAAATGTGTGACTGAGAAATGGATTTGTCCATTTAGGTGACCAGAAGGTCAAATGATGGAGACAGGATTGGAATTTGATTATGATTAATATACTCCTAGTGTTCTAATATAATGGTTCTGAGAAACCATGGCCTGGCAGATACAAGAAAAGCCTGAGAGCCAGAAACTGGCAGTGTCCCTGTCAACCCTGCCATGAGCACAGTACACCCTGGCCCTTAGATTGGAATCCCTCAGTGGCCATGGCAGGGTCCCCATGCCCCATAGGATGGGTATGGTCCACTGTCAGGACCTCAGGTCATTATGCCCTGGCATCATACCATTCTCACTCCTTATTCTGATTCCACTGGACCCAGCAAATGAATTTCTGGTCATAAGTAGGCTTCTACCACATCATAGTGGATAGTTGCAGTACTTACCATAAATCAAAAGGTAATCTGCGAGTGTGTTCAATATAAAGTATTACCTACTTCAGTTTGGGCAGCCTGCTTACCTCTGCCTTCTCTCAAACCAGCACATGTATTGCCATCTCCAAGCATTGTATATGCTTGTCTGTGGCTTTCCTTAGGGCTTACATATTATATTTTTGTGATTTTTTTTAATGTTTCCCCCTTGCCTCTTCCTATCAGTTTTGCAAACATTTGTGGCTAGCATGGGCTCTCAACTGTGTACCACTCACCCATTTTTTAATTGACATCTAAAATTTTTTTATCATAAGTTTAAATTAATTCAGACAATATAATTTCTGATGAGTTAGATATATTGATAAAGTGTTACTCTTTTAAATCCATCCAGTGGATGGGCCTCCCCGGTGGCGCAGCGGTAGAGCGCTGGGTTGCGAAGCTGCCCGCGGCCTCTGCAGTGCCGGTTCGATCCCCGGCTGCTCCCCAGCCACCGCAGGAGGGTCCCACATGGCGCGCAGACCTCTCCTGCCGCCCGCTGCTCCCCTCAGCAGTGTACTTCGGTCCTTCTGCCTGCTCTGCTCCCCGCTCTGGCTCTGGTGAATTCTCTCACCCTCCTGAGCTTCTGACTGTACCCAGTGCATGTATAAACAAAACAAGCAAACAAGCAAACAAATAAATAAAGAAAAAAACATGCCTCTATTAAAAAAAAAAAAAAAAATCTTAAAAAAAAAAAAAAAAAATAAATCCATCCAGTGGCATTAAATGTCATAGCAATTGGATACCCTTTATCATGTGTTTTTAAAATACTTAAGCCAGCTGTTCACTGGACATTTTATATCATTCCTTTTACTCTTTATCTCATATTCCATTCCATTTGTTCTAGAAAATTTTATTACGATATAATGTATTTTTATTTCCCAAAGTATTTTATCATTCTAACAAAATTCTCTACAATCTCGAAATTAAACTTTATGTTTATTACCTGTGACCTAAGTCTTTAAATATTTAGAAATAGCTTCTAGTTTGAGTTACTATTATTGCCAGTATTGTTAGTCAAAATGTCACAAATAGGTTCCAAATTTTATGGATTATTATTAAACATAAAAATTAAAATTTGTTTGGAAGTGTATCTTTTAGTGAAATGAAGCTGCATTTTTAAATTTACACACTTGTAGGTAAAGAAAGGAATTACTGTTTCTAGAAGATTGTGATAACAGTAAACCCATTGAGACAGAGCTTGACATCAATTTCGTTCCTCTTTTACTATATTGTATGTATATGCTCTTAGAAACCTTGTTCATGTAAAAAGAACAGAGGAGAATAGAAGAAATTTTGTGGCAATGCTACTACTAAGTTACTTGCAAAAACCATGTTCAATCTTCTATTAACTGACAGTTTTACTTTTTCCATCTTCAATTTTGTTAATTGCAAAGTGGAATCACTGGGCTTATAAAACAATCCAGCCTTTATAATCTTTAGCTACCTCAACACTGTGGGCAGTGTGTTGAACTGTGCCTTTGCTTAGCACAATTTGTGTTATACCCGAGGCAATTAACACAACTGAGTTAAATTCAGGTTGGGACAACAATGTTCTGTTTCTGTAAAAAGACTGAAATGTAACTATGAAAAGAAAGATGGAGAAGAGGACCAGCCTGACATAGGCATGTCCCCAGGCTGACCTTTAGGAAAGACCTCTCTTTTACTGCAGTGGTTGTGAGAACTGGGGAATGAAAACTACTATAATCATCACAGAGTTTCTTAGCTGCTTTGATGTATGAACCCTGGTTAAAAGCACTTACTTTGATGTTCCTTTATTTAGCTTTTGAATTAATTTCTCCTAATTTCTGTCTGTATTTTCTCTAGTCTAAGAGATTTGGACATGTCTGGGATAATTATAACCAGCTAGTGAGACATTTAGTAGCTTGAGGGTATAGAGGCTGTTTTCTAATAGCTTAATAAATGTAATTATCTCACATTAACTTTAGAGGACGAATGATTGGTTCAAATAGTGGATGTCTGTTGCTTTCACTACTCAGCATTTATTAACAACACATTATTTTGTGGGGTGGGAGGTACCCTTACCATTTCCCAGCCGTTTGCTTTGGTGGGGCTGAACCCCCTGGCTTCAGGATGGGCAGGAGACTTAGGTCAGACTCTTAATTCCAGGACTTTGGCCAGAGCTGATGGGATTATTGGCCAGGAAAGTGCGTCTCTAGAGGGCAATGCAGGCCAGTTGGGAGCTGAGAGGCAGGCTGTGGAACTAGAGAAATCCGGGCGGGCTCTGTTGGACCCTTTGTGTTGTCACAGGGTCGTGCCTGGCCTCACAAGGTCTGTGTGCCAGTCTCTCTTGCTCTGTCTGCTCACCTGTAATCCAAAGTGCCCTGACTGATATGGAAGATCACCTTTAATAAGATCTGTGTACTCTCTAATACTAATGAAAAATTGAGAATTTTGTAAATATAGATTACTGTAGGAGGTATAGATCTATGTTCTCATGCAATGAAAAAGCATCATCTACTGTCTAAAAGTCATCTCTATATTTTCAGTATAACTTACTTTCTATGATTATCATAAAATACGCATAACATAAAGCTGTTTTTAAGTGCACAGTGCAGTGGCATTAAGTGCATTCACATTGCTGTAGAGTCGTCACCACTTCTTCATCTCCATCTTGCAAAAATGAAACTCTGAAAATGTAACTCCTTTTCCTCCTCCCTCAAGCCTGCAGCATTGTGTAAGGCTAATACCTGTGGTAAGTTACTCAAAATCTCGAGACATTCATTGTATGTTTCTTGTTACTGCAAATCACATTTGGGGAGACCCATTGTAAAGCAACCAACCCATTCTGAGCAGGTTTATGAACGGTTCTAGCAGCCACATGCTCTTCGCCGTGGTTTGTAGTCGCTCCAACAAT